GGTTTCAGACCTGGTCGAGGCTGTATTGACCACATCTTCACACTTCGTCAGATTCTAGAATATAGACACTCCTTTCGTAGACCCACCATTTTTATTTTCCTCGATCTAAAAGCGACTTTCGACTCAGTCGACCGCTCTAAGCTCTGGCGCTGTCTTTCCCTGGAGGGAGTGCCCGAGAAGTTTATTTCGATATTACAATCCCTCTGCAGTAGTAGCCGAAGCCGAGTTCAAGCTTACGGCACTTTTTCACCCGAGTTCACCACGGAAAGTGGTGTGTGACAGGGTTGCCTTCTCTCTCTTTTTCTATTTAACTTTGTTATAGATTTAATTCTTGAGACAGCCCTATCCTCGTGCAGGGATAGCGGTATCGATCAACTTCCGGGTGGCAGACTCTCTGATCTAGAACATGCAGACGACATTGTGCTACTAAGTGACAATCTAAGTAAGTTGCAAGCTTTTCTGGATAGTTTGAGTGCTAGTATGCGTTTTGCATCTTCAAAGTGTAAAATGCTACTACAAGATTGGGTTGATCCAGCACCCAGTCTCACTCTACTTGGGAAATAGTAGAGAAAGTAGACAAATTTTGCTATCTAGGCAGCTATATCTCACCCGGCGGACGCAGCACAGATGAAGTGTCGGCGCGCATACAAAAGGCTCGATTGGCATTTGCCAACTTGAGACATTTTTTGCGCCGTCGAGACATCCGGCTGTCTGTGAACGGTCGAGTGTATGCTGCAGCAGTTCGGCCAGTCCTGCTCTGCGGTGCAGAGACTTGGTCACTGGAGGAACAGAATAAAAATAGATTGTCGGTGTTCGAACACCGCTGTCTACGTAGCATTGCACGTGTCTGGTGAGGTAACCGGACTAGCAATGCTGAGATTAGGCGTAGAGTTTTAGGCAGTCGCGGTCGTCCACAGANACATGTGCTACGCATGTCACCAGATAGGTTGCCTCGGGGAACGATGTTTGCCAAGGCTGGTAGCGGTTGGAAAAAAAACGAAGGGTGGTCAAGCTAAGACCTGGCATGAGGGTATGAAAACCCTAACCAGGAAACTAGGTCAATTGTCGGAGTATGATGCCAGCGAGAAGCTTAGAGACGATGTTGATTAAACTAGCTCCTCTATGATTTTCACAAGAGGATCTATCACCTTTCTTGTAAATCGGTATGATCATCGACTCACACCATTCAGCTGGAACCTTTTCCCTTTCCGTTATTGAACCCAGGAGTTTTGTCAAATTCAAGACTAACGCTGAGCCTCCTTAAACGCTGATGGGAACAGCCCAACTGGGCCAGAGGCCTTATACCTTTTGAGATAACTTATTTCCCGAGAAAACTCCATTTCAGATGGAATACTAGCATCAACTGGGAGTATTTGTCCAGTCGAGGTGGAGAGTGAAAGATAAGTTGTCGATGAGGGCCAGTTGAACTGAGCNAGCCTTGAAATATTCAGCCCAACGGTCAAGAAGGCGTTGCTGATCGCGAATCAGTGTACCATTCGATTCCTTCATTACCTCACTTACGCCTATTTTCCTGGGGCCAGTATTCCTAATTAGATGGAAAAGGTTACGACTATTTCTAATAGCCGCAACTTTCTCCATCTCTTTACACTTTTCTACCCACCACTTCTCGCGGTTATTCCTCAGACTCTTTATGAGCTGGCATTTAAGGGATTTGCGCGCTGTGTCGTATGTGGCATCTGAAGGAAGGGTTCTGCAGGCGCCCAGCAGGGCAACCGAGGTCGA